TGAGTGTGTGAGTGGTGGGGGGGGGGTGGGGTCCCTTTACAAAGACATTATTATTTTGTGCATGCATTTTGTTGTGTTGCAAAAGGCATGTCAACGTGCCCATGTGAATAGGTGCCACGTACTGCCAGTGCAGCACCCTTGTCATTGACTCCTATTGTTGGTAGGACGCCCCAATCTGTCATTTACGCCGCTGGATGAAAGTGTCGAATGATTACTGTGTATGGCCAGAATAAGAGCGGAATGTGTATAGAAGCAATGAAAGGGTTATCTTATTTTTGGGTAACGGTGGGGGGAAGGGGTGGTATTGGAACGATCCAGGGGAGCGTTAGCCCTCAGTCACACGGTCCCCTGCATTTGGTTTATTGAAAGGAAGGAGAAATTGATCTGGGAAGTAAAAACAAACTTTTATACTTCCCGGATCATCCAATGTACCCGCGTTCAGAGTATTAAACCTGCCCCTGGACGCAGAGATTTCTAGCTAAACTATATGTACCTGAATGTGCGTAAATATGCATTATGGCATTTATATTCATTACATTACATTACTACCGTATATGACTGGTGCTTTGCTGTGTATAAAGAACACAGTGTCTCCTGCAAGAAAAGAATAAATGAACGGTTCCTATAAGTCAGGGCACGACAAATCCCAGGCGTCATGGCGACTGATAATTGCATCCTAGCGCCAGGGCTTTTGTCAGCCTGTTCACTGCCTCCCCGCCATTGCCTCTGTAATCAGCTATGCTCCCCTGTTCTCCTCCATGCTGGGCGCTGGCTGCAGCTGTCTGTGTGTCCCCTTCGATCTAGAGCTGCAGCTAACGATTATTTTCATAATCGATTAGTTAGCCGATTATTAAGTTCAATTAATCGGTTAATCGGATAGAAAATTAAAGTTTAAAAAAAACGGCTCCATTGATGGGACTGCTAGTTTGTATTGCGATTGTAGTCCATCACAGGAGCAAACTTGGAGCGGTGGAAGTAAAAAAGAAAAAAAAAAGTGTGGTGTGCAATATAGTGAAATTAAAAGTGTAAAATTGAATGAATGCAGAATGGCACCGGCTATAGAGGACTACAAAACCCAGCAATAATACATTATAGATGGCGGTATTCTGCATTGCGCTGTATAATGTACTATTGCTGGGTTTTGTAGTCCTCTATAGCTGGTGGTGTTCGGCATTGTGCTGTATAATGTATTATTGCTGGGATTTGTTGTACTCCTCTATAGCTGGTGGTATTGTGCTGTATAACGTATTATTGCTGGGATTTGTAGTCCTCTATACAGCGCAATGCAGAATACCATCAGCTATATAGGAATACAACAAATCCCTGCAATACATTATACATACAGTGTATAATGTATTCCTCTATAGCTGATGGTACATTGCTCTGTATAATATACAGTACAGCACAATGTACCATCAGCTACAGAGGAATAAAAATCCCAGCAATACATTATAGAGCACCATGTGTGGGAAAGTGCAGGCTTACCTGAGCAGTCTTCCAGCAACTTGCTTCTGAGATGGGGCCTGTCTATCTGCCGCTGTCATCCCCCCCACACACCTTCTCCTCCTTACTACTTCTCCCTGCGTCCCTGTGCCGATCGTGGATGTGGGCGGGCGGTGAGCGTGAGGCGGGGAGGAGGTGTAGCCTGGATGCGGGCGGGTCTGGCAGCGGCGAGCGTGAGGTGGGGAGCGCAACGTGTGTGGAGCTGTGGACAGGGGCACCTTATCAAAAGCCGATTAATCGATTATTGAAAAAGTTGACAACTTTTTCAATAATCGATTATAATCGATTATGTCGATTAGTTGTTGCAGCCCTACTTCGATCCCTGCTGCTCTCCTCACCTGTATCAGCAGAGGCAGTGGGGATAGGAGGGGACACAGACTAGTGCAGCCGGCACCCAGCGGGGAGGAGAAAGCGCTGTCAGCTGCTGTGCCCCGCCCACCGTCCCGTTGCTGCGCCCCTGCCTTTGGACCAACCGCCCTTCTCCCGTCGCTGCACCTCTGCCGGCACTAAAAAGCCGACGACAAGTGTCCCATCCATCGGCTGTGAGCAATACTCAAACTTTCTCCTTCAGGTGCCTTCTCTGCTGATTGACAGAAGACAGTGGGCGAGTGCAATAGCCAGCCTGCTATTGCAATTTGAAATAGCCAATAGGGGATGGAATAAAGCAGATTGACTCACCTGATCTTCAGTTCCGCAGCGGTTGGTCTGCAGTCACCTCTCTCCCCTCCCACTCCAGCTGTAGAATGTCCCTCAGCTTCCTCACATCTATTACAAGCCAATGAACCTGGGTGATGATGTTAGACCGCCGAAGCCTAGGGAAGAAGAGGCTATGGGGACCAGTCTAGCAGCCTGGAGGGGCCAAGGATGGGATCAGATGAATGTATCTGCTTTATTCCATCCCCTAGAGAGAAAAAAAATAAAAATGAGCAGTTAACCCTTGCAGTGCTGAGATAGCCCCACTGAAGGGAATGCTGGAGGTCCCCAGGATATGAACCACATTTGGCACAGCAGGGGGTCTCTGTCACCCCTATCTAATGAAGGAAAGCGATACACCCTAGGCAGGATAAAGAGTCAATGAGTCAATATGTGAGAAGGAGACCCGGTGAAATGATTGAAGAACTTCCTCCCATACCTCCTGTGTCACATCACCCGAATCCCACAGGGAGATTTCTACTCACTTCCTGTCCAGTAGTATCAGAGGAATACAAAATGAGTAGAAACCTCCAATACAGAAACACAGCAAAAACTCTGCAGGGTTTCTATTACTTCCCCGGCCTATTCAGAACAAAACTTTTCACTGCAGTTGGCCTTTATAGAGATCGGGATTCACACTTGGCCTTGGCAATCTCCAGATCGCTGATGTACTAAGATGGGTGAATAAACTGATATGTTTTCAGACAATTACATATGAGAACCGTGGGGCTACTAAGAAACATTTAGAGTTATGGTCCAGTTTGCTTGAGCCGGCTCCTGGTGGTGTGGGAGATCCTTCCTCTCTCCTCTCCAGCCCTTAGAGCAGCGGTTCTCAACCTGTGGGTCGCGACCCCGTCAGGGGTCGAATGACGATTTGCCTGGGTGGCGCCTAAAGACATCCCAACTCTCCCGGACGCTCAAGGAGTCTCCCGCTATTAGATAGCAGCTCCCGGCCGCCCGGGAGAGAAACACTTTCTCCCGGAAAGGTTTATCTGCTCGATCGAGCAGAGTAAACCTTTCCCTACCCTCGTTTTTTTTTTCTGACATTGGAGCCGCCGGCTTTTAGAAAAAAAAAAAGCATAGGAATGCATAGCTAGATTCCTATTGGCTATTTCACTTTGCAATAGTCAATAGCAAACTAGCTATTGCACCCGCCCACTGCTGCTGTCAATCAGCAGTGGGGGACCTGAAGTTTTCCATCAGGTCCTCTTCTAGTGATTGACAGCAGCAGAGGGCGGGTGCAATAACCAGCTTGCTATTGGATATTGCAAATTGAAATAGCCACTAGGAATCTAGCTATGCATTCCTATGCTGTTTTTTTTTCTTTCTGACTGACGGCGGCTCCAATGTCAGAAAAAAAAAGAAACCAGAGTAGGGAAAGGTTTACTCTGCTCGATCGAGCAGAGTAAACCTTTCCGGGAGAAAGTGTTTCTCTCCCGGGCGGCCGGGAGCCGATGACGGTAGCAAAAATCACAGCAACGAAAATAATTTTACTGTTATCGGTCGCCACAACTTGAGCAATTTTATCAAAGGGTCGCGGCACTAGAAAGGTGGAGAACTGCTGCCTTAGACAGTCCTGGCCCATAGTGGGTGGCCATGCACATAAAGATTCCACTCGGTTCCTCCGTCCACACTAAACATGGATGGACGAATCTCCCCTGCCAGCTATTGTATACTGACAGCCAGCGCCTGCAGCTCTCAGAATACACACATAGTGAACGGCAGCAGCCAGCGTTTAGCCCAATTTTTTTCCGCCTGGCTCCTTCGTTTTTTTTCAGTTGAAGTTTGGGGACCCGAGCGATAGGTAGGGCCACCTACAGCTTGAATTTCATAGAGTTCCTGTGAATCAGCTGAACTTCAGGCTGCGTATGGTCAGCTGTACACTGTAAATGTCCCCTCCGCCTCTTCAGTCTTATCCCCTGCTCTAATATCTGTTGCTAGTACACAGTTTACTTTACACTGTACACTTGAGTGGTGAACATGACATTTCTATGAAGAAAGATTCCTAACACAGGCTATGACTAATAGGGATGGAGTCCTAGAATGCATTACATTCAGTGTAGTCATACATGTGGCTCTTCAGTCACTAAATAGCATTACAGCCAATAGTAGAGGAGGCCTTCCAATGATTAAAGTCCATTAAACTGATATTTTAGCTGTGGCTGGACTTTGGTGAGCTGAATACAGGACAACTCAACTCACATCTGTTATAGGGTCTTCTAAAGTTCCAAGCTCTGCCCTCCATACCATGGTGGTATCGACTCCTGCTGCATCCATAGGGGTAAATAAGCCGAGATAGTGCGATCCCTATGAAGGGGACAAGGCGGTCCTAATGTCAGACTTATTGACAGACACAAGAAAGCAGCTCTGCCATTCTACATAGTGAGCAAAGACAGCTTGCCCGATTCATGGGGTGATAACATTTGGCAGGGTTGCAGATTGTCAGATCTGTGTTCTTCACATGAGTATGAGACAAAGAACGCCAGGACGTCTGTAATGTTCCCATCAAAAGCAGAGTTTATAGGGCACGTCCAGCCAAAACTTGGATTTGCATAATAGGAAATGATTTGTATTGCTATCCAGGGTTCCTCACTTACCATCACATACCAAATCTGCAAAGAAATAGCCAACACGCCTTAAACACAATGGGGGGGAATTTATTTATCAAAACTGGAGCAGGGAGAATCTGGAGCAGTTGCCCATGGCAACCAATCAGCATCTCTCTTCAGATTGCTCAGGTAAGATTTGAAAATGAGAGAGAAAAGCTGATTGGTTGCCATGCACAGTGGCTCCAGATTTTGTCTTCAGCACTTTTAATAAATCCCCCCCCCGTGCAAATCTATGTGGAAGCCGCACCGCCCTACCAAGGTCCCTCTCTATACTGTGGTCCCTATCTCTCATCAAACAAAGCTCCCATCCTGCAATATACACAGCAATAAATAAAGACCCTTAGCTGCCTTTGTGCTGTTCTTGGCTTCTGGTGGTTTAAGGAGGAATCTGTTACCTCCGGCCATACCTGCCTTTAATCTGTTTATTGCTGTGTATGTCCCAGGTTGGTGGCTTCGTTAGATTAGAGTGAGGGACCATACTATATAGAGGGACCCTAATGGGGCTGTGGGACTTTCACATAGATTTGCAAATATTTGCTACTTACATCTCTGTTTTTAATGCAAAGAGGGGAATTTATCAACACTGGACCAGACGTAATCTGGAGCAGTTGTCCATGGCAACCAATCAGCTTCTCTCTTTCATTTTCAAAGCTTAAATGATGAGAGAATCTGATTGGATTACTAAGGGCAACTGCTCAAGATTTTGCCTGCCCCAGTTTTATTATTTCCCCCATAGCTCCAGTGTAGGGGTACTGGCTGTTTCTTGTATGTGGATATTATGTGGAGTCACAGTTGGCCACGTGCCCTACTACAGTGATTGTGGGCAATAGTGCAGGTCAGCATGTTGAATGTTAGCAATAAGAAGCCCACCAGGGTTTGGCTTCTTGTGCAGCTTCTTCCTCCCCCAATCTGAGCTCTGCTGTACAGTTTGTCAGGCCAATATCAAGTCATATTCCGGTGCTTACACTGCTTGCATCTAGAAACGAAATACATTTAATGATGAAAGAGTTGCAACCATTTGTCTTTTATATCTGCGTGGAGTTCGGCTTTAATGGAATTCTCTCTAATGAGTGGAACATAGAGGTTGCCTATGGTGACTCTCTTTCTCCAGCCCTTTGAGGTGCTAATCACAGGCTCTTCTACATATAAAGACTCCTCTTTCCCTTTTCTTGATGTTGATACTTGTTCCAGAAACCCTACGGAAGCACATTATTTAGAATATCAGCCAGGTGAATAGCATTTTCAGAAGAAGGTCACCAACTTCCACGCCAGGTTTACTTTATGATCCACATTTCATTCTAACATTTGCATTTGGTTTTCCTTCTTCAGGTAACTTTCGATATCGATGCAAATGGCATACTGAACGTGACGGCAGCGGACAAGAGCACAGGCAAAGAAAACAAAATCACCATCACCAATGACAAAGGTCGCCTGAGCAAAGAAGACATTGACCGTATGGTGAACGATGCCGAGAAGTACAAGGTGGAGGACGAGTCCAACCGTGATAGGGTATCTGCTAAGAACGGGTTAGAGTCTTACGCCTACCAGGTCAAGCAGACCATGGAAGATGAGAAGCTGAAGGGTAAGTTGGGCGACCAGGACAAAGAGAAGATCTTGTCCAAGTGCAAAGCAGTTCTCGATTGGCTAGACAAGAACCAGATGGCTGAGAAAGATGAGTATGAGCATCAGCAGAAAGAACTGGAGAAAGTATGCAATCCAATCATGACCAAGCTTTACCAGGGTGGAGCTCCTAACCCAGGAGCCACCGGTGGAGGAGCAAGTGGAGGGGCAGGCGGAGGAGCAGGAGGACCCACCATTGAAGAAGTGGACTAGGTTGTCTCAGCGTCCACTCAGTCTGTACTGGCCGGGGGCTGAAAACAGAAATACAGTGGATTATATGTGCGGACGATACACACTTATTTGTGTATTGATGTTTGTCTTTTACACCACAGCCCAGTACATGTCCCATATAGGTTAGTGCAGACTATGGTGCGGAGTTCATACTTCCATTGCTGGAAAGAGTTGCCAATGCCAAAGCCAGTTTGCTTTTGTAATGTTTAGAGCTGTTTGTTATAAATTGCTGTCAGATGAAGGTTGATCATTACTAGCCGGTCCTTTGATGGGTTCCAGCCACTCAAAGCAAACCTGTCCACCTTTCTGATAATGCAATGCTAAAAGTCCTACCTTGGATTAGGCATCCGCAGAAGGTTAAAGGGCATGAAGGAAAACATGGGGGGCCACCATTTCTGACCTGCTGAACATGCTGCTTTCTGGACTGTGTCTTCTTTTAAGGCCTATTCACACCACATCCAGATCATCTCCAGACAAGATTGTTTCCGGAACCACAATGCATCCTTATGTATCCCTATGCTATTTCTGGCCTCTGTTCACACCAGCGCAGTCCATTCCAGACCAGACCCAAAAAATACTACATGTCTCACTTTCTCTGGTCTGGAATGCACAGGAACAGCAGGCAGGTTTACACCTTTTTCCAGACCAGATCTGCTCCGGAAAATGGTGTGAAGCTGCCCTAAGTGCTCAATAGAGGATGAAGAAGTCACTGGCACGCCAATATTTGCTCAACCAACCCATCTATATTGATGTCGAAAGGTTACATCACAACGTAAAACCTTCTGACATCAATCAAGATGGGTTGGTTGAGCAAATATTGGAGTGATGGTGACTTCTTCACCCTCTACTGATTGATTTATGGTGCCATCCATGGTCAGTGTACAAGCCACCCAGCGAATTACAGCTTCATGTCGGTCAGGAGTCAGATGGGACTTCCATGTTTTTGATTACTTGGTTTAGTGCTCAGTCACAGACCCCGAAGTCACATTAGTATTGGACCATTGACTCAGGAAATAATGGGCATGACTGCAAGCTAGGGTGCGTGTTCAGAAGGAGGCTTCAGCTATGGTGGCCTTCATTTTTCCTTTAGGATCGAGGGTCAGCACCTGGAGGACCCAAGTATACTCTTTCACCATGGCCTCTACCTCAGAGCTAGGCCTTGTTCACTATCCACCGGGCAGCATCCAGTCGCAATCCTCTTTTTGGTTTTTGGGATGGACAGCTAATGTCTGGGAAGACAAGACCATAGTGACAGAGAGCACCTGGGACCCTGGAGGGGCACAGAAGAGGGGTTTCAGCTTAGGAGACGTTGTAGCGGGCCCCTTGTTGTGTCTCCCCTTAGGTAGGATCTTTAGTTTTACATTCTCAAAAAGGAAAGCACTTCAAATTAGAAACCAAATTGGTCGTTTTAACTGCAACCCGTGAGGTGTGGTGTAAAGTTCTACAAAAGGCTGACTTATATTGTTATAGAGAAGAGCCTCTATATAGTCTAGTGAAGTGAGCTGAATGGAGGTCACAGCACTGGTCATCAGACTCGTCCTCGTCCCCTCTGAGTTCCCAGGTAGCGGAGAGGCATTTTATCATTACACTCCCTGGTATCTCCATAGACATGTCAGCCCTCATGAGAGGGTATGATGCCAAAGACCTGGCTGCAGCCATCTTGTTTGACTTGTTGTAACTTAGACAGAATTTGCGGTGTGATCTTCCTTCAGGAACGACGCCAGCTTTTGCTTTTTGCAGAGGGAATTTGGGATCTCGGTGTAGGAGGTTCAGCTTCATGCTCGCTTTACTGTTCTGTTGGAAAACATATTTCTACATTATTCTTTACATGGTAACATCTCTAATCTTATATTCAATAAATATATTTTCTTCAGCATGTTGATGGTGACTTATCCTTTATAGGAAGCCCTGGTATTTATTATTCCTTGCTGATACAGGTCAATGTATTGTATAGTTTGAAGAAACATTGTCAATCTGCAGGGGTAGGCAAACTCAGGCCCTCCAGCTGTTGTGAAACTACAAATCCCACTAGGCATTGCAAGACTTTCTCAGCCACAGTTATGACTCCCAGAGACAGATGCATGATGGGATTTGCAGTTTTACCACAGCTGGAGGGCCAGAGTTTGCCCACCCCTGGTGGGGGTCACTAAAGGTAAAGTACATCTCACTGTATGTTTACTGCTGACAGATCAGAATAGTTTGTACATTGATGGTTTCCAATGTTTGGTTAGTCTATTGCAGTCTATGCAAAATCACGAGGCACCCCGGTGTAAAATGCAAAAAATGACATGTGGTTCCCCTGAAAATCCATACCAGACCCTTATACTAGATACAGATCTGGTATGAGTTCTAAGGGGGCACCCAATGCAAAAAAAGCCACAAGGTCCCCCCCTTCACATCAGACCCCCTGTTTCTATCAGGAGCCCTCTTCACATCAGAAGCCCTCTTCACATCAGGAGCCCTTTTTACATGAGGAACCCTTTTCTCATCAGGAGCCCCACTCCACACCAAACTCCTCCTTCACATTACAAGCCCCTTTCACATTAGGAGCCCCTTTTACATTTAGAGCTCTCTTCACATCAGGAGCCCCTTTCATATCAGGAGTTCTCTTCACATCAGGAGCCCCTTTCATATCAGGAGTTCTCTTCACATCAGGAGCCCCTTTTATATCAGGAGTCCTCTTCACATCAGGAGTTCTCTTCACATCAGGAGCCCCTTTTATATCAGGAGTCCTCTTCACATCAGGAGTTCTCTTCACATCAGGAGCCCCTTTCATATCTGGAGTTCTTTTCACATCAGGAGTTCTCTTCACATCAGGAGTCCTCTTCACATCAGGAGCCCCTTTAATATCAGGAGTCCTCTTCACATCAGGAGTTCTCTTCACATCAGGAGCCCCTTTCACATCAGGAGTCCTCTTCACATCAGGAGTCCTCTTCACATCAGGAGTTCTCTTCACATCAGGAGCCCCTTTCATATCAGGAGTCCTCTTCACATCAGGAGTTCTCTTCACATCAGGAGTCCTCTTCACATCAGGAGTCCTCTTCACATCAGGAGTTCTCTTCACATCAGGAGTTCTCTTCACATCAGGAGTTCTCTTCACATCAGGAGCCCCTTTCACATCAGGAGTCCTCTTCACATCAGGAGTCCTCTTCACATCAGGAGCCACTTTCACATCAGAAGCCACTTTCATATCAGGAGCCCTCTTCACATCAGGAGCCCTCTTCACATCAGGAGTCCTCTTCACATCAGGAGCCCCTTTCATATCAGGACCCCTCTTCACACCAAGAGCATATTAGAGTTCCCAGTCCCCACTTTACTTCAGAGTTCTGAATTACATGTGGTTCCCCCCAAAATCCATACCAGACTAATATCCTAGATACAGGTCTGGTATGAGTTCTATGGGGCCACCCAAAACAAAAAAGGGGGGGAAAGGCCATGGGGTTCCGCCCTTCCCATCAGAGTCTCCCCCTTTCACATCAGCCCCCCTGTTTTTATCAGGAGCCCTCTTCACATCAGAATAGGACAAAAAAAGAAAGTTTAATGCAAACATGTAATAAATGCACCAACCTCGATATAATAAAAAAATTGCATTTGCCAAATTTTTCCCATCGAGCTCTGCAGAGCATTGCAACTGCGATCGGAGCATCACACAGGCTTCTGGATTGCTCACCCCCCAGCCCCAGGTCCGTAGAGGTTCAGACCTTCCATTCTGCGTTACAATTGCGGTGTGGTGTTATAACCCGTCAGCTTGTGTCATCTGTGTCCCATTGCGGAGATCCCTCTTCACTTCCAATACAGGAAATCCCTTCAAAACAAGTGAAATCCCTGGTGGTCAGCAAGATCACCACAACTAGTGTTCCCATCTATTCCTGTTCTGGTGACAACCCAAAGATTTATCATTCCAGCACATTCAGCTCGCAGATTCCTCTCACTCCTGTAGTCACTCCTCTTCCTCCTCCTGCCATTCACAGCCCACAGAGACGACTCGCCTAGTAACCGACTCCTCAGTATAAACAATGCAGTGATTGCATGCGGCCAGCCTTCTGAACAGCCATGGAGCCGGTAAGCTGCTTCTCCCCCATCGTCCTGCTAGACCCAGCGCCATTCACAGCCTGTCCACCATCTTCATTATAACGTGTCCATAGCTAGGGAAGGAGGAGACCCCAATGTCTACACTGGTGACACCCCAGAAGAAGTCTGTGCCCAGTGCACCCTGAGAGTCCATCATCACCATGGGAGCCCGACATGTTTCCGTGCTGTGACACTGTCAGCTCCTGACTTCCTGGGGGAAGCCAATGGCAATTCATGTGATTGTGTGTTTAACCCCTTGCTGCCCAGAGCAATTTCTTACATTTGCACACACATGATAAAATCTGAATTTTTGGCTAGAAAAAAGCTACAGACCCCCAAACAATGATATATGTTCTGAAAGCAGAGGCCATGTAGAATATAAAGATGCTAGTTGCAATTTTGTATGTCGCAAGGTATTTGCGCAAATGTTTATCAAACCCGTATTTTTTTAGGATAAAATACACTAAAATGAAATTTAGTGCACAGAAACAGAATATAATACCCAATTTTTTAGTAAAATATAAAAGACGGTGTCACACTGGGTAAATAGATACCAAACATGTCAAGCCTTAAAATTGCGAGCGTCCGTGAAGCGGCAAAAAACTACAATAACCAAAATTTCCCATGGGGGACACTTTAAAAGCTTTTATCGCTCATCAGTTTAGTGTTATCAGTGAGTAATGGACCTAGAATTATTGCTCTCACTGCGATGTTCGCGGCGATATCTAACATGGGTTACATATCCTCCAGTCATCGGAGGAAAGATGAGCTTTCGTTTTTGCACGTAGGCGCATCCGACGCCTGTTTGCGTATGTGTGTCCATGCACGGGGGGGGGTCGGGGACTTAAAAAATGTTTTTTTGCATTTTAAAAAAAAAATGTTACACCAACTTTATTGCTATCACATAGGGGGCTAACAAGCACCCTAGGTAATAGCAAATATAATGT